CCGGTGTCCAAAATTTAATTTAGGCTTAGTGATAAATATTATATTTTTAATTTCAACATTTTTACATTTTATTTATATATGTTATATATGCTACTTAGTAAAATTATTTATTAGAATTTAGCCTAACATAATTTTAGTGGACTGTAATCTCATTAGTTGTATAACTAATTGAAACTAAGAACTGTAAATATTTTCAAAAATATATATTTTTTTTCGAGCATTTTTAATTTAAACTAGCTAGGTATTTCAATTTCACACAAAACACACAAACTCGTATCGCTTTCATATGGTTAACACGTCCTTATTCCCTGCAAGTGCTTTGATGTCATTAATATAGTATAAGTTCTTAAATATTGCATGCTTAATTTTATAAAATTATTTTGCAATAAATAATTGTATGTATTTCACACAAGGTGTTATTCTTCAACAAAACCCTTTAAGTCTCTTTGTCCACACCAGAATTCACTTACATGTAAACACACAATGGCCCAATAGCATGTTTCATGTGTAACAAAAGATTAATAATTTAGAAATAAATAACTACAACTAATGGTAATTGAAATAAAATGGGTACTATTGCATTTAAAAAAAGCAAACAGAAAAATGCAAGTAGTTCGTAAAAAAAAAAATTTATAAAAAATGTATCATGTAGCACCACAGTGCATACAATTACCCATAATAATATTATATTTTTTCTAAACATTTGAAAATGTAGGAGTACAAAATAACATAAAAATATTTGGAATTGCCTTTAAAACTGTAATTATAAAGAACTTTAAATCAATTTGAACAAAATTTAAAAAAATGAAGAGCAATATCTGAGTATTTGCATTTGTGCATCTATGTATTTCCTAAGCATACAATTAATGTCACATTTCAATCGACTGATTAATATTATTACACACTAATTTTGTAAAGTACATATAAAAAGTTGTGAATTTATAAATTAATTTCGCTCAATCTATTTTTATATAATGAAATTATTTTTGACATACTTTTTGTACACTGCCTTCTTTTGATATGCAAACATTATTAAGATTAAATATAAACAAGCAATTGCATAAGAACTAGATTCGAATTAAATAACTTAAATTTCATATACAGTTAAGCACTATTTATTTTTAACTCAGTAGAGAAATGCGCTGATCTTAAATATTAACATAGGTAGAGTAGGTCAAATTGAATAGTCAATTAAGTTCGTTAAGTGAGATTGAATAATTGAAACAAAAACAAAATAAATGCAGAAATAAGAACAACAATCATTCAATATTAAATAGAGTAATTTTAAATAAAAAAATCGCACGAAATTGCACTGATTTGTCGACTCCAATATTGTATGCATGTATGATCCTTATATAGTAAGTTAGTAATAAATGATATATAGGTTAAGCGCAGCTAAAATGCGATAAAAGTATTAAATTGTACTTGAAATAAAAAATCACAATAAATTCGAAGAAAAAATACATAAAAAGTTGTTTACTTAAATTAATTTGGCAACACTATAGGAATGCGTTTTATAATTTACATAAATATTTTAATATAGAGTCCACTGTATTCCACAAAGTGCCGGTTAGCGGCAACAAATAAAGTGCCATAACTACGCTCTACATTAAGATACAAAACTGTAATTTAGTTCAAAGGATCACAGTAGCGAGGCGCACCTATGATCTAAATTTACATTTCAAAGTGGGCGCAGCCCCGCCCTCTAAATGGTTTAATGTACATATTTTTCAAACTGCATAAAATAAATCAACTAAACTTGCTAAGAAGAAATCTGTCTGTGAAAATGGGTAAAATTAGATAATAACCACGCCCACTCCCTATATAAGGATTATGTTGAAAATTATTAAATTTAAACACTGTGAAAATGGCGAAATCCAATAATCACGCTTACTTCACATATAACAAATTTTTAAATCAAACTTTGATAAAATTATCAAATTAAAACTTTGCACAAATAAAGACACTATAATAAGGTATATATAAGGTATCTCATCTAACGCACAAAAATTAACGAAATCGGGCTGTAACTTTTCAAGGAAAAAACACCAAATATATTATATGAACCCCAGAACATACCGGTCAATCTGTGAAGTCCAATATTGAAAGTTAGGGTGAATATTTTTGTGATGACTTGGCCTTGTGCCGAAAATTGGTAAAATCGGGTCAATACTTCCTTCAGTCCCCATATACTTAATATAAATATTTTCGTAATTCCGGTTGACTTTATACCGCATCTATATATATTTTTTTTCGTATTTTAATTTGTCGTTATAAACTTGTAAATTTGGGATGATTCAAATGTTAAAAACTCTCGCAAATCTTAAGAATACCAGTGTACCTGATTATTTTATGCAAAAGTCATCGAATACACTTACTATTATTTTCATATGTAATTTATGGTCTAAAATATCCTCATTAAAAACAGCCGGACAGACGGAAATAAATAAATCTCAAAGAACACCACAATTGCATTTTCTTCTAACAAGGAAACTTTTGTGGCGACAAATCGTTCTTTATGTGAGAGGTAGCGACGAGAAAGAGGGATCCTTTTTCACAAGAGCCGGTTTTACATTACCGGAATTGGTCTGTAAATAGTAAGTTGTTTGTGATTTGAATCTATCAAAGAATTTTGTGGATATACGTTATTTATATGTGCAAGTAACTTAGTTTTAAGAAGTGATATTTTCGATTTATATACTTATTTAAATATTAAGCTCGCATTGTGACGTGCACCATATAATAAAAAATATTCTAATATAATGAACTATCTAATACAATTGATTATTTTGTTAATCAATTTTCATTTGGATATCTGGTAACCACCAGATTTATATGGTAGCTATGGCAGTTGTCTAACTAGTAAATTCTTTAAAAGAACTACCCTTATTGCGCAATAACTTTAGAACACTTTAAGAGTAATCTCCGTTAGCACTATCAGGTAATTAGCCAGTGACTTAACCGATTGTTGGGTGGCAGGTTAAGAATACAAAGTATTTTCGAAAATTGATTTTACAAACTGTAGTTGTTATGTATTACCTGTATTCCTTTAAAATGCATCTCTGTGTGAAATACTTTTAACATAGATAACCTACAGCTATTATAAAAGATAAATGTCAGTCAGTTTTTTGATACTTATTGGATTTAATTTTTTGTTGTGGAATCGTTCATCCTTTATAATAAGCTTTGTTATAACTTTAAAGACTAATTATATAGGAAAGCAGAGAACTTATGAAAAAGTAATGCATTTCCAAGGGTACGCGAATCAGGTAGTCCACCACTTTGAAGAGAATGATGATTCCCGTTCAAATCACTATGACCAAACCGCGTACGACAGTGAAGAAGGTAAAAAATGAATTTATTTAAAATTATTTCGATATAAGTAAAAAAATTCTTTAACATAATTCATTTTCACAGATACTGACGATGCGAGTGAAACGGAATTTCGAAACAACAGCCGTAGCAGTAACGCTACCAACACAACAAACGGGGGCAGCAATCACGAATTAAAAGAACAGTATATCACAATATTAATTTAGTTTGTATATAAAAAATTAAATTTATAACTTTAAATTTGCAGAGTTTATCAACACAAATTAGCCATATTAAATAAACAGCGAGAAGAACTAAAACATCTCGTACATCCTGACTACGTAAAGCGGGTAAAAAAGCTTGAAAATCAGTACAAAGAACGCTTAAGACTGAATGAAATCCACAAAGAATATCTAAAAGAGTGTGTTGAAAAAGACTATCAAGCAGAGCGTCGAGCAGCGCATAAGGAGTATGAAGAGAAAAAGGTAACTAATATGATTCTACCATATTGTTATAATTAACAAAATAACAGTCAGCCAATCCAACTCATCTCTGCTAACACAGAATTGTTCAAATGTTCAGGTTTTGGACAGAATTTACACGGAGCTTTAGCTTAACGAATGTTTTTTATTTACTTAAATGGGGGTTTAAGTGTGCGTTTAAATATATGTATTTCTGGCGTAGTCAAATTATAAAAATGTGAATGATCTGAAACGATGTTTTTGTAAACAAGATAATGGATTTCCTTAAATTATTTTTTACTTTCAGATTGATTTGAAGGAAAATATACTAGCCGATTTAGAAGAAAGGAAAAAGCTAATAGAGAATGAGCGGTACAATTTGGAGCTAACAAATGACTCAACAGAAGTAAAACCAACTATAACGCGCAAATTACGCAGACGTCCAAATGAACCAGTTCCAGTGGTCGAAAAACGTCGGAAACCTACAACTGGTCAATTACTTGTGTACTTGTTGGACGATAAAGAAATTGACAGTGATATGAAGGCCATACAGAGAGGCAAGACATTAGCAACTAGTTTGTTAATAAAACCTATTAACAAATGATAATTAATTTTATATATTTATTTATTGTAGCAACGCAACAAAATGGTGTCGGAAACGTTCCTTTCAGTAATTTGCAGCAAGGAGGTTTACTCTCCGAAAGTACAAATGCAAACGCTGCCACTAATATTGAGACACGTATTGAAGATGGCAAACTACTGTATCAAAGGAGATGGTTCCATAGAGGTCAACAGGTATATGTTGAGGGCAAAGATTTGGTTAAATTCGCAGCTACAATTACTGCAATAGGCAATGAAGTAGTAAGTAATACAATAAAAATATATTTTTTATCAACATTAAACATAATTTAAATTATAATGCAGGTATGGGTTAAAAAGACAAACGATAGTAAAGTCAAAATTAATATGTCTCATTTGGCCAAAGGCAAAGTTACGATTAAGCGACGCGCCAACTGATCCAACGCCAAAAGTAGTGCTTTCAGCTGCAGTCTTAACAAGCACACTCCATTTATGGTAATGACAACAGCAAATAATTGATAAATTGATACAAATTTAATAAATATGTAATTTTATCAACGTGTAATTATAGATTTAGTATTTTATGTTTATATTATAATGTTTGTCTCGCAATAACTTATTTATTATTCCAACAAGAAAAGTCGTCGCTTTAATTAATTATTAAATATAATTAGCCTTATACATGTAAAAAAGATCAATCAACAATAAAAATTAGATTATGTTTATAATAAGAGTATTACAAAAATTCATGCATGTGTAATTCTTTTGGAATGCGCTGAGGTATGTTGAGACTTGTACATATGTATGTTAACCGTTGGAAGTTGTTAGAGATAAATGATATTGAAGATAAATGATATTTATGAGGAGTTCAAAAATTTCGTATATCATATACGATGGAAATAATATGTTATGATCTCAAGATGTGTCAAACTTAATTATTGTTAAACAAGAACTATAATTGGAATATTTCTAAAGGGAAATTATTACATTTTCGGTTCCTCGTTACCAACTGTTTTTTTTTTTTTAATCTTTTGCTAAGCTCATGAATTCAGCGCAAATTTTTTCATTTATCTCTTCAACCCCTGGAATATCTGGCATAATCCACGTATCGTCTGTGCTCTCCAAAGCCTCACTGCATATAGGACAAGTTTTATTATTGACGTTCCTATGAGGGTAAATAATTTATAATCGAAGCATACAATTTATTGAATAATTAGCAAACCATTGTTCAATGCATGGCGTGCAAAAACTATGCGTACAAGGCAGTATTACTTCCGTTAGTCGGTCTAAACAAATGGAGCACTCATCAACATGTTCAGAATGTGAACATGATGAAGGGCTATTTAGACCGCTTGAGGTTTCGCTGCTTGAATTGCGACCAATATTTACAAGGGAATTTACTCGTTCCATTATCATCGATGCGGTTATGTGATTGTTTACAACAGATGCTGCGCCAGACATTTCATCGTCTATTGGAGTTTGGGAAAGTGAACTTCGGCGTGAACACTGCTGGATAAGAAAAATTAGAAGACTAAACTGGTATTATACCTTTCGTATACCAATTGATTTTCGCTTGACATTAAACTTTCTAGATGAGACTGAAAAGTCCTGAAAACGCACAGAAATTGCTTCAAATTAAGAAATTTATAACTTTCGATTTTCCTCGTAGAAGGATCTACTTTTATGCAAGCAATTTTGACCATCGCTTTCCATAGCATAGATGTGTCTGTACCGCGTTTGACAAGGAATACCAGCTGCTTGCCATTTGGGTCAATACACTTACGGGAGCTGAAATAACAATAAGTTTATTTGAAGATCAAGTAATTAACGATTTTTACCTAAAAAACAGAGGAAGATTATAAAAGAACGTTTCTTTATTTTATAATTAAAATATCCATATTCTTACAGCTCATTTAAGTTGTCCAAACATGCTTTAAAATCTTCATAACTTAGAGAGTTTATTTCCGAGAGTACTTTGGCATGGCGAATGACTTGCATGTGAACGGCGTCCACTGTATCTGGAATGGCGCTGTCGCCAATAGATTGAACCTGCCCCATTACCCTTTATTTTGTATGCTAATTATTAAGTAATTATTATTTTCTGTTCACTTGCTTTTTAATTTCTTAAAAATTTTAACATATCTTTGTACTATCCATTGCAATTTCTCAAACCGTTACTTGATTTATTACTAAATAATACATTTGGTGGAGAATTGACATTACAAACCGAAAAGATAAAATTGACATTACTATTGCATATGTGTATGTGAACGAACGACCGAAACGAATACAATGATAAAGAAATACACAAAAATAATGCAGCTAGGTCGACATAAAAAGTACTCTTCAAATTGGCCTTTAATTTAATTTACAATTTCAGTCAATTTTTATTTGAATTAATTTAAATAATACAATTATTATACATAAGATGCTGCTATAGTAGAAAGTATGGTCCAATATGCTATCTCCTTTACGTCGAAAATATATTGATTCCCAAACTATTTGCTTTTCGCAGTTGCAATTCACAATTTTTAAAACATACTTCAGTTTTTGTTTAAATTTACAGAAAACAAGAGCAGAAAAATTCGCGTTGATATTCCTCACGGCTTTGCCTCCTCATAATTTATAAATTACATACATACTTCAATTTGTTTAGATTGATGCACTTTCCCTATAACTGTCCATTATGGCAAAAATTACTTTCAGATTTTCTAAAACTATTCTCAACAAAATACGTTGACATTTAGACGTATTAAGTAAAAAAAAAAAACATCAAGAAATCCATATTCAGTCAGTAAAATTTTGAAATATATATAGGATAATGCCAATTATATCTTGACCTTTAAGTCCAATTTCCACAATTCTCAATATTTTCATATACTAAAAAGAATCAACCACAAATCACTATTCCACTTTGTTAAAACACCGTACTTTCAAGATAGTTTTATTATTTTTTATTTACTTCAAAATAAAAAATCCCGTCTGGAACATCATTTTATAACTAAAGAAGTGGTTACTAGAATATTTTTATATCCACTTTTTATTGTGGGCGTGCACCACGTCCGAATCCACCACGGAAATCAACATCAGCAGCACCAGGACCAGCATCTCCCTTCTTGTCGGGTCCACCGGGCGCACGTCTATAAGCAGTACGGTCCTCACCGGTCTTCGAAGAGTCACCAGTACGAGCAGATGCCGCTGGGCGGGGACGCATTGTCTCTGAGCGTGCTGGACGTTTCAATGTGGCCGGCACAATTTCAGGAGGCAAATGCAAGTAACTGCGAAGGTACTCAATACCTTCATTGGTTAAATACCAGTAATAATGTCTCCATGCGAATTGCTCCTTAACCAGGCCTCGAGAATGAAGCGACTGCAATGTTTTGATAACATGCAAGTTGGGAATGGTCTCCAGCTCAGGGTGCTTGGGAGCATGGAAATCCTTTTTGGCAACGATGACACCCTCTTTGAAGAGATACTCGTAGATAGCTACGCGATGAGCCTTTGGCATAAACATCCTGAAACAAAGAAGAAAACGCGAAATCAATACACACTATTCACTCAATATCAAATCAATCGAGATATAAGTTTATTGATGTGATATCAATGACCGCTCTAAATGATTTGCTTGTAAACTTATATGAAATTTAATTATTCCGAATTAATTAGTCTTGAAAACACATCAGTTATACATTTATGATCAGAATATGTTTAACAACCATTTTTTAATTCTGTACACATATCATTGTAGTGATTACACAGATTTTCAACGATAAATTTTAATATTTTTTACATACTTTAGCGTCTTTTGTGGAGCAGTCACCGGAAAGAAAGGAAAGGTTAAATGACAGCTGTCATTTTGGCCTTTGACATTCAGCACTTCAGCGCTATTGTCATTTTATTCATTCAGCGCATTGCCAAATACAAACATTATCATTGATTGTGAACTAGACATCATAGATGCTAATTTCCTTGTTATAGAGAAAAGTTTCAATAAAGTTATATATAAAAAAAAATGAAAGATTTCAAGAGATAAATAGTCATATGGCAAAGTATATAAAATATATAACACGAATAATAACCAAATTTATATTTACGCCCTGCCATTCTATTGTGAATAAAAATGTCACATTTCTAATTTTTCATGCTACTAATTTAACAATTACAACCTCATCACGCATTATTTAATTACGAAACGCTTCCTCACATGTTTAATAGATTTTTTATTAAATTTATTATAGATGCGTGATTCGAAGTCAGCAAATACTCCTTGAGCCCTTGAACCTCAATATAGAGATACAAACTTAAGAAAATTACGAAAAGCTCAAAAATTAAACAAATTTGATCGTAAAAGAATTTGTTACTTAGTAATCGCAAAAAATACAAACAATTTATTTTTTGTAATCTTTTTTACATATTAACAGAGAATGTAAAATATCTACATTAATAATCTTTATTTTTTATATATATATTTTATTATAATAATCTACATTCTCTGATATTAAGAAAGATGCAATTATTAAGAAGCATTTTTTCCATGTCTAGTTCAATTTATTTTTAACCGCTGGTACCTTAGCTGGATGATAGCTTTAACTGACAGAACCTTTTTTACAAAGTTGTGGTTAGCTGACCTACAGATAGTTTGATTGTGGTTTTAGTAGGAGAGGGGACGACACCGCTCGCTGCTTCGGCATTCCTTAACGTTTTGAAAGTCCTTCCATGGTTGCTACAGCGCTCGATTTCAAAGGAATATTTACATTATGTCCGAATATTTAAATGTTATTACCCCTTTTTTGTATGAAATATACATACATACTTGTATATGAATACAAATATGCATAATAAATAATGATAATGTGCGATACAAGAATCCCCGTCTGAACTCCGTCTATACTTACAGATTTTACAGCTGACAGCTGTCATCTCGTGGTGTGTTTAGAAACTAACCAATACCAGAGAACTTAAAACAATTTGTTTTAAGTTCTCTGCCAATACTCCTTTTTTCAATAAAGTTTTCCGAACATAACAGACATATGGTTGTTAACCAGATATGCAGAAAACAATTTTTTAACATGGTGTCGATTCTGGTTAAGCGCATTATCAGACATTGAGAATACGGACTTAAAATTAATAAATAATACATGGATAAAGAATTATTAGAATATCCATAGTTTCCACAGTACAAGTAAAAAACCCGTTTGTCACAGAAAATGAAAACTCTCCAGCTTTTCTGGCCTTCCATTATTTAAAAAAAAATCTCAAAAATTGCCTTATTTTAGGCGATTTCACTAGGTGTGTCCTTTAACTCATTTAAGAATAAAGTGCATGTAATACAATTGGGGGTGGCCCATTGATGCAATACATTTAGAGAGAACGAAACAAAGTTGGGAAGTCTTCACTTTCCATGCACGGGTATAGAGAGAAACAATTTTTTTAACTAATAGCTGCCTTCCAGTCGTTATTTCACTGTTCGTTATCTTTGTCAACTACTCTCTTAAATTTAGATGCCAAAGCAACAACAAAGTTCTCGAATTGAATTTATACAAAAGAGTATACGAATTTGTTATTAAAGTGGTATAACCGCTATATTCAAACCTAGCATGTTTTGTATTACACAGTTTAGATCAGTTCTACCATTTTGAATGACTCATATGACAAATTATATATACAACAAAATTTTAATTTGTGTTTCAAACTTAAGACTTGAAATACATATATAATAGTTATTTATACAAAACGCAAAGCTCAGAATTAAGAAGTTATTGAAACGTATTATATCGCGGAAATAAGAATTCCTTCATCAGATGAAATGCTAGTGTTTTACGTTTTGTTGCGTAAACTGCAATTTAGCAAAATAATATTCAAAACATAAATTTAAACAAAACATGGAAAATATTTCAATGATAATTATTAGCATAAGTAAATATGATTGCTCATATTTAATTATTGAATTGGTAAATAAACTTTATGCAACAATTATTTAAGTCGTAAAATATGAATTCTTATTTTTCCTCCACATAAATTTTGTACGTCCTCATAAAATTTTTAAACGGTTGAAGAGTTCAAACGTGCGCTATATTAGCTCGAACATATCTACCCGGCCATTTCGAGAATGAATATTTCATGATTGCAAATGCCCAAACAAGAACATTGCCAACCTCATTGACAGATGATTAGCAATATATATTGCCTGTGAAGATGCGGCGTAAGAAAATTGCATGCCGGTCCGAATATTTTCGGGAATAATACGTTTTACTGGTACTGGCACCGAATTACTGGCACGTGTGGCCGCAGCGTTAGCGCAAAGGTGCAACGGAAGTGCTGCCAATTTTTTTTGAAAATCCGGTATAATTTGCTATATTCGTTACTCCTCAACGGTTGTCGAATCGAAGACAGCTAATATAAATATATTAGTTTAAAATAAATATAAATAAAACAGTTTTAAATGTCAATTTAAAAATATGGTGATTTCATTGTATGTTGAAGCGTCATGCATTAACGTAAGCGAAAGAGTTTGCGGATACGGATACCTCATTAAAGTGGTATAACCGCATTCTTCTATGCTACCAAGTATTGTTTTACACATTTTATACCTTCTACCATTGTGAATGGCTCAATTGACAATTTGCTGTAAAAAATTAAAATGCAAATATTTTTTATTGATTTTCAAAGCATAATAAATCAATTATAGCTATTTAAACATAACATAAGGCATGCAGGGTTGCAAATAATGGATTTTAATTAAGTTTTATTTATTTTTTAATCCCAAATACGGAAACTTTATTTTTTGGTTGGTTGGTTGGTTGGCTTATTTTTATTCCCAAATATCGGGGCAAATTAAAAAGAAAAATTTTAATCTCAAGTACATAATTAAGAATTAAAAAAAGAATTTGTTTGAGAATTGAAATTTTTTCGCGTTTATTCAAATCAACAAATCATATTTTCAATTTTTAATCCGAAACATCTTGGATTAAAAAATGAACTGCCAGTTTGTTTGAACAACCGGTATAGTTTGTTATATTCGCTACTCTCCAAAGCTAGGCGAATCGTAGGCAACTTGTACTTTACCATGTCAGCACATAAGATTTATACCAGTTGTTTATTTAATTCGCAACTCTAAAAGACCTACCAAATCACAGGCAGTTAATAGTGAACTAATATTTTACTAATAAGAAAACAAAGCTTATGTATGTCACACTAGTTTTAAATAATTTGGATTTCAAATGACCCTTTTTTTTATGGTTTCTTAAAGTTTCGACTGCTTGGGGCTGTTTTGGGGGTCGTGGGAGTGCTTTACACAAAAAATTTCCATATTTATCACGTTCAGTTTTTAGCAAGATGTTGCAGGAGTCTAAAATTTTTAAAAGGATTTCAATGAATATAATTGCGTACAATTCTGTTGCACCCTGTAATGTCTTCTGCTCACACTATTTAGCACTGATTATTTATTCACTGGTTATTCCATGGACTTTGATAACACACTTTTACCGGTGATTATCGAATAAGACTTACCTGCTTACCTCATTGAAGAGGAATCAACTGAAAATTCCTTATACGTAAAAAGATGATTTATTTACCAGCTTAAATAAATATTTTCCAAGTTTATGAATACATTTTGTACTTCAAATGGTTAAATTTTGACTTTGCCTAAACCGATCGCTAGACGACAATTCACGATTCCCCTAACTCACAGTTTCATTAAACTAGACGATAATTTTACTAACTAAACTCATATTCAAATCAGAATATCATATCAACCCCTGTACCTCAAATCATATAGTTATATGGTAAACTACTTTACAAACTTTGAAGCAACATACCTAATCAGACATCCGACTGCTTTTTTTCTTACAACTAACTATTTTTTGCACGTATTAAAGTCCTAAGGGATGAAAGTTGTCAGATTTCGGTCAGATATATACCATTATCGTACTAGCCTCTATTTTCGTCTAATGTTTACATAAATATATAAAAAATAAATAAAAAAACCCATTAATAAACTGTCAGTAATTGGTATAGGTCTGATCTAGTTGTAAACTAGTACATTTCCTGACTAGTTTGTTGTTCGATAATAATATACTGAAGTATTTATAATTGTTCTTAGAATCTGGACCAAAGTTTAGTGTCCTGCTTTTCATTATTATAAATATTTTCATTTTTTATATAGGTACTTGTATATAGCACTTAGTTCGGGTATATTGACCCATGAAATTTTGTGACATATTCACGTGAAAGCACATACTTTTATGAAACAAACAAAATAAAATATGACGAATACTTGGCAGAATATTTACGAAGTTTGATTCATTGTCTTTTATACTTCAACAATATATACTAGGTAAAATCGTGTTAATGTTAACAGAGATGGATTTTAGGCCTTATAGTGATCTCTGCTCAATAAATGTCTTTACCAATTTTTATATTAGATCATATAAGGGCACATACTAATAGAATTTAAGGAATTAACGTAGAGACTATTTATATACACAACTTACTATAAAACTTAAACGTTGATATCATTGCAAATTTATGAATATATACATATGTAGTATATGATTAGATTTATATAGACCGATTTCTTACTGCTGATATAATAGATTAGCCGAGCGTTTGACTCTGAGATTACGCATCATATTGTATAATATGATTTTTATTCGGCATTGGTATAATTGTAGCGCATACATTATCAATATTAACCTTACCTTTCCAACCAATAATAGATATAAGTATTATTGTACGCGCTAAGAAGTATGAAACCTTATATGTAGTAATTGAGAAATCAAAGTGAGTATATAAGAGTGTGGGTATACGAGTATACTAATACATAGGTATACAATTTTTACTGTTTAATATTGAAGTATCGGCCTTTTGACAACGATGGCTATAAAAGTTACCGACAAACATGTACAAACTGCAGTTCATTCCCATATATTCGTGCGAAAGGTAGGGATTACGGTGTGATCCTTGTGTTCGGGTACGCAATAAAGTTTTAAATTTTTAAACGAAATGGCAACGCGGCATTCCCTTGCAGCGTTGTCGCTGTTAATAGCAGTATTTGCGCATAACTGCTATGCTGAAGAATCGACAGTTTTAGCGGTCTCAGGATCACCATTTAAGAATGATCTCGCTTATATGTTTTATAAAGAAGGATCGCAAATTGGAGCTGAAACATTTAATGCTACACTCAGAGCATACGATGACTCTAAATGCCTAAGGGATATTGATCGCATATCACAAGCACTTGATGAATACTACGAATGGGCTATTGAGTGTAAGTTCCTTATCCTTTTAAGTTTGAACAATATTAAGAGATAAAGTATCAGTGCCGTGTGACGGCGTAATCAATGAACATTTAGATGAGGTATATGAATTTGAATAATAGAAACATGATAAGATTTACATCACTTTGTGATTTTATTCCCAAATAATGAACCGAACTATATAGTGTCAGCTGAAATTTATTTATGTGTATCGCGCTATCTAAATGTTGTGTAAGTACCTGAAAATTTCTGTGAAAGCTGTGTAAGAAAAACATAGTCAGAGAAATTTAAATTCAGAAATAAATAAAAAAACATTATACTTTACAATCGAAGTTACACATTTGACATTCGAAAAACAACACAAACATACAGGAGTAAAAAAAATTAATTGAAGTATAATGACGGAACTAACTAACTAACCTAACCTAAACATATCATACTAATAATTCTTCAGTGATGTGCATAATTCCATTTATACTCTGAAGAGGGTATATTAAGTTTGACACGAAGTTTATAACACCCAGAAGGAAACGTCGGAAACCCTGTTAAATATGTATGTATGTATATAAATTATCAGCGGGACGAGCTGAATCGATTTATCTATGTTTGTCTGTATACATATACGCGAACTAGTTCTGCAATTTTTGAGATATCGATCTGCAATTTTGCCACGTCCTTTTCTCCCCAAGAAGCTGCACTTTTATCGGACTACCATATAGCTGCCATATAAACTGAACAATCAAAATCTACTCTTTTTATGGAAAACTTTTTTACATGACGAGATTTTGTCATGAAATTTTACATAGAATTTTATACCAAGCAACGCTGTAATCTTCGAAAAAAAATTTCTGATCGAACCGCTTTAGCATATAACTGTCACACGAAATTACCGATCAAAATCAAGTTCTTGTATGGAAACTATTTTTATTTGTAAAGTGTATTCTAGCTTCGGGGCAACCGAAGTTTATGTTTTTTTTCTTTTGATTGTTTTTCATTCGTTCTCATTTTTTTTTTAATTTGTTACTTTAATCCAATCCACATTATATTCGTCAAGTTCATTTTTACAATTATTGTTTATTGTTTTATTGATAATAAATTTAAGTTTCAATTTTATTTTTACGAATCACCGCCTTTTGACCATTCGAAAGAGATATTACCAAAAAAACCTAGCTAATCGTAACGTACGTAACGATTCATAAATCTCTACTTTTAAGGATTTATTATCCAAGTCAGTGATACAGCTGATGGGTATTCTGCATAAGCATTTCGTTGGGAATACTTGTTATAAATCACAATGCAATCATAAAACGCAATAAATAGTTATAATAGTAAAAATGTTATGGTATAATCTAAAGTGTATAAGTACACTCGGCGAAAAAAACCCACGCATTTTATAGAGTGGCTATACCTATATAGCGCAAAACTTAGGTTAATGTTATCATAAGTTAGACAATTTTTTTGAGAGCCATCACGTTTTATTCACTTCATGTTTAAAGCATTTTTACATAATAAACTTATAGTTTAACACTTGTTTTAGTGAAAAATACAGGCACACACATAACAAACCACAGAACTATAATTTCATACATTGTAATTTTTAAAATTTTATTTTTAAACAAGTTATTTACATATTTTACGTTTTATATGTTCCTTATGTAACAATAGAATACAAATCAAAGCAAAAAATAAAATTATTTGTTAAAAAATTCTTAGTATTTTGTGGAACACCTTCTCCTCCTAACAACCTCTGTAAGTGTTTGTAATAAATTATAGAAAAATCTATGTCAATACTTTTATACTCTAGTTAGCGTTTTGGCTATATAGCAAAGGGCTGAATCATGCTGAAAATAAAATGTTGTAATGTGTTTTTGAACAGCTGTTCCATAGATGGTAAAACGAATTCTTTAAAAATTTCAATGTATTTTTCGGCATTCACAGATCTTTTAAGAATACGAAGCTGCCCAACACCAAACTTGGTTATAGCCTCCCACACATTAAATAGGGCGAATGCTTTACGATGGGTAAAATACAGCTTTCCTTCGACGCACTGTGGTATTTATGTCGGGTCCAAATAAATTAAATTTAGATTTGTCGGAAAAAATAACATTTCAGCAGTCCAAGTTTTGTGTGATCTTGTCCACTCTAGCCGCTGTTTCTTTATACGGGTAATGAGAAATGGCTGAACGTCGCGCTTGTAATTCAAAATTATTCAAGACATTTTGTAAGGAACGTGTAATTATTTTTACCCCAGTAGTTTTATAAAATATTGAATTGATTGTAGTGCTCAGTAATGCACATCCGTTCAATTTGTCGCTCATGACGAGGTTTTACTTTTTTCGGACGCCCACTGCTCTTTTTTCGATTTAAAGTATTAAAATTGGTATAATTTTTTAAATATTGCGTTTAAATATTATGTCCATTTTAAGAGCTATTTGACGTATGGATAATTTTTTTTATATAAAGCTATGATTTCTGCTTTCTTCTCTGTCGACAACATCATTTTCAACTTTGCTTATTTTTATAACTGACTCAAAAGAAAATACCGCAAGTACTGAAATAAACAAGTGCAGAAACTAACGGTTTCAGAAATAACGTTTAACTAATGAAATATTAGAAAATTTTCGACTGCGTGGGTTTTTTTCTCTGAGTGTATACATATCTGGTATATCTATAACTATATGTACATATGTACATAAACAACTGCCAAAAGATTTTAATTCATTAACAGAAGCAATTGCTACGACACATACATACGAGTAAATACATACAAATATGTATAAGTTAGTAGGAAATGCAAAGTTCAATTGCAGATTATCGTTAGATAAGCGATTGTTTTTTATTACTTAATACAAGTTGAAATCATAAATATAAAGCTATCAATATGTGAATATAATACTTTTGCAAACCTTGTCCTGCATATATGGTGTATAAAAATATTTGTACATACGTACGAGTATGTACAAGTATGAACGGAAATGCAAGTGGTATTATACGATTTTATTTTATTTTGTAACTTAAGATTTTTTTTTGCTTATACTAATTTCTTATTAATACAGATTTTGCCAATAGTCAATACTATAAATATTACTACCAACTTTTTTTAACTCATTACCTAATATTAAATTAATTTTTTTTTGTAATTATTAACTAATGCAAAATACCTATGTAGATGCTTAGGCTGAATGATTTAAAAAAAAATTTAATAGTAATACGCTCGGTTTTTTACCATTTCTGGTCGAAGTGGGAACACTTAAAAACAAACACGTTTCTTATTAGTGGAGAGCTATGATCCTGTGCTCTTTTGGATCGAGTTGCAAAGCGGAATAGGACGGTCGAACACTAAAAAAAGTCACAAAAACGAAATCTATTATAAAAAACCATTTTCATTTCATTTATTGATTGCAGTTCCCGACACATGGGGTCGACTACCTATTGGCTTGATGTGGGGCCATTCATTGAGTTTCGGTGCCTATGAAGAATGTGTTGCCGCTTCTTGGGAATTCAGTAAAGACGATGTATTGCGCGGTCAGTACTGCCTAGCACGAGTACCAATTAAAAAATATATGGATGCGATTAAGACACGTGATTCGACGGCTCAAGCAAGGATCACTTACAAATACGAAAGACCCGAAGTATTCGAATTGGGTATATGTATACCTAGTTCATGTTCAGCTGAACTAGGTAACAAAATATTGACTGGAGTAATGAATAAATACTACGATGCTGGAATTTCTTCAACTATGGTCGGCGAACAATACTGTAGATATGAGCAACCCGTGAAACTACGTGTTATCGACATTTTTGCTATGTAAGCGAGAGGAATTTCATTATCTATTATTTATAACCTCCTAATGGCTTGATTCAATGATTACTTTTTTTTGAATATTCTATAGTGTTTTCTTCAGCTTCATTGTTTTCTGCATGTTAGCCAGCAGTGTTTACGATTATATTAAAACGAAAAATAATGGTGAGTTATAACTGAAATCTGCTTGAGAATTCATATATTTATAAATAGTTTTAAATTTCAGAACCGAAAAAGCCACTCTTCATTTCATTCTCTGTACTCACTAATGCTCCAAAGATTTTTACTGTCAAAAAGAGCAATAATCCCAATGTCATTCAATGCCTCAATGGTTTGCGTTGTTTCTCAATGATGTGGGTTGTATTTGGTCATGGTTATATGACTTTCTACGAGCTACCTCATATTAACAAAGATAAAATCTATACCGTAAGTGATTGTTAATCTTTTTTTGTTGGTTGGGTTTTGTTGAGATATTTGTATTTCAAAATTTGCAATTACTTTTTATAGTGGATCGAAACTCCATACTCCATGTTAGTCCAAAATGCTACACTCTGTGTGGATACATTCTTTTTCATGTCTGGTCTATTGATGTTATGGGGCGCCTTCCGCGAAATGGAACGCACGTAAGAGCTTGTATTTTATGTTATACAGATTTCGTTAATCAAACTAAGTTTTCTTGCTCTACATTAGTAAGGGAAAACTTAACATAGGTTTGATGTATTTCCATCGTTATATTCGTTTGACTCCAGTGGTAGCTGTTGTTATTCTCTACATTATGTCACTTTATAAATACTCGGGTCATGGTCCTATGTGGATGAAGATCGGAACTCAAGATGATCGTTGTTCGGACACATGGTGGGCAACTCTGTTGTATGTACAAAATTATGTCTTCCCTAAGAAGATTGTGAGTATAAATAAATAATCCATTGGTGTATATACAATATGAAATAATTATTAAATTTTATCTTTTTCAGTGCATCAGTCAGTCATGGTACTTGGCTGTCGATACACAGCTCTACGTTCTTTCACCACTAATCCTTATTCCACTTTGGAAATGGGGTAAAAAGGCGCTCGCTCCAATCATTATTTTTGGCCTTCTTTGTATGGGCTGCACTTTCGCTACCTTCATGTATTGGAAATTCACTCTCTTCCGTGTGGAGGATGATCATGTTGATGATCGCCAACGTTTGACCTACTATCCAACGCACACTCGTGTACCCACTTGGTTGATTGGTGTCATATTTGGTTACTTCTTGTATACTAAGAATCGTGGTAGGCAAATTCCATTGGCTAAAAAATGGGTCATTACCGGTTGGGTGTTGGCATTTGGTGTTATGTTGACCGATATGTGGGGACCGTATTGGCGTATCCTACCAGAGAACCCCAGTGCACCAATTATTGAAGGTGCATTTTACGAACCATTAAGTCGTGCTTCTTGGGCCGTCGCTATCGGTTGGATTGTGTGGGCCTGCTACAATGGCCATGGTGGTATCATTAATGATTTCCTTTCATGGGGCTTCTTCACAGGCTTCAGCCGTCTCACATACTGCATGTATGTAATCCACAGAATTGTTCAACTGGTAAATGGTGGTCGTATTCAAACCGATACCCACTTTGGCGATTACGAAATGGTATATACTAATTGATGCTTTGTACGAAAGAAAATTAAATGAAATATTTTACTTGTTGTTTTTTAGATTCTTCGCTGGTGGCACGATTTCGGTATTTCCCTAACGCTTTCCATATTTGCCACATTGGCTTTTGAGGCACCTATTTTGGGCATTGAGAAGGCAATATTTGGACATGGTGAAAGTAAACCAGCACCTAAAAAAGTAGAACCAACATCTGCTCCTACTCCCACCGCGACTGAAGTTACAGTTGAAGTGACCAAAGCTTAAGAACGACCAGCAGAATTATGGTCACTACTCGAGTATTCTAATAAGTTCAGATAGATATTAGCCAAAGAATCATTACCATAAAATGAAATTCATTTAATGAAAACAAGTAGTCGTATTATATACGTTTTATAATGTTAAAAAAAGTAAATAAATTGTATTTATTTAAAAATATTAACATTATGGAATCAAGTTGATTGCTTTTTTTTATTATTTCATTTTACTTAAATTAAGATAAATAACGGAGCTAATCAACAACGTGAATATGTTATGGTTCCTCACAACTTTATTTTAATGTTTAATGTATATGTATGAGAGTTTTATTTGTACGTTTAGTCAAGTGAGTTTGTCAAGTATAACGTGAAATATCTTTGAATATTTAAATAAATCTCGCACTATTTTATGATCATCATATATGTATAGCCATCGATCATGGCCGGTAAAACCAAATGCATATGCACACTTAAAGAATTTTTCCGAAGAGTAGATGAGTCAAGCGATATAGCAAGCGCAATAGTCAGTTTATTTATTTTTTGAAAAAAAAAACACTTTTAGACACGATATTGAAATTGACTTCAACGAATTTATCTTCCACAACAAAAGTCTGTCACTATCAGAGTGTATGGAAGATTAAACCCATTTGAATAGCTTTTTTTTGGTTGTTCGGCATAATTTCCAATCATGTGCATCTGTTTGTTAAAGCAACAAAGAAAATAACAACAGAAAACCACATGAGAGAAGGTAAATTACCGTAACCAAAAAAATAGCACAAGTTATCCTGCAAGCAGAGCATTATCATTGTTTAACACTTGTGTGAGCAAAACATTTGCTTTGATTTTGTTCAATTTATTAGTTTCGAATTGTGACAATAAAATTACCATATACATATATACATATATGATGTGATTATTAAAAACAAAATTTAATACCTTCCTGGCAATTTCTGCTGGTTTTTCATTTCTTTATTTTTTCGTTGAACATTATTGCGCCTCGCTCAAAAGCATCGAGGACATGTATCCTATTTTAATACTGATTTTAAAAATATTGTGCAACCAATAAGAACTTAAAATTACCTGAGAATACACAACTGTTTAGCAACAAAAAAATAAAAATAAATGTATAAGAGACCATTTGTGTTTTATGCAGAGCAGTACATTTCCTACGAGCTGTGAGTTTTGCAACTTGAAATGATTTGTAATCATTGTTTTATAAAATTGATAAGAAAAAAAATTGCCTTAAAATAATCAAATTTCAACTGTTAATAACTTTTAAACGGTTAGGTCGTAAGGGACCATTTTGTAGAGCATTAAATTTCATACAAAATCTATGAAACGAGATATTTACAAGTAATTAGAACCGAGATTTGAAATTTTCTATCTGATAACTGAAGCTATAATACCCTTTACAATTACAAAAGGTTCCTTATAAGAACTTGATTTGTATAGCAGCTATATAGCAGTGATCTGATCTGAACAATTTCTTCGAAGATTACATTGTTGCTTTAAATAATAATCCCTGCCAAATTTCATGAAGATATTGTACCTAGTCAAATAAAAGGACTTTCCATGCAAGCACTTTATTCCGATCGTTCAGTTCATATGGCAGCTATATGCTATAGTGACCCGATATATACAATTTCTTTATTGATTCCATTTCTGCCTTAAATAATGATCCATGTCAAATTTCGTGACGATAATCATGCTCATCAATCTTCATGCTTTTTCTCCTTAAGATGCCGCTGATTTGTCGGAACCGCCGATATCAAACTACTATAGCATATAGCTGCCAGTGCTTCAGTGTAAACGAAGTTAACGTTTTTTCTTATTTTATATTGACACGAGGGAACAATATTATCGGAAAGAGATTCTCTCTGTATTTCACAGATTTTCGGAAAAAAGCCAGTCACAGTCATTGAAGTCCAGACACCAACAACGCGATATTAAAATGAAATAAAACTCTCAAATTTGGTCAAAATGGGTTCTGTTATGCAAATAGTTTTATGCCCTTTATGATTAAACAAAATGGCCATCTCGGCTCCTTCTGCAGTATTTCGACTGGAATTCCGGCTATAGTGCGCTGAACTTGTCTTCTAGCTCCTCGCGCATTGCTGGTTAATTGTTGTAAATCTTTGATTTAACATACCCGCGGAGAAAATAACCTAAAGGCGTTAAATTCGCGAAATTAACGAGTCCCCAAACTTTGCACGCACCAAGCGGTCAGTTTTTGAGCACGCAATTGCGTTTAAATTCTTGCACCCTAAGCAATTGCCTAACTTGCTCATATGGACATGCCGTCCCAAATAATGATGTGTATTTTCGCTTTAAAATCAGTTGTTCATTATCTTAATATCAAGTTGTTTTATTACATATGTATAACCGTTTTTTTCAGGTTAAATAGCAATGCTGTCACTGAACCAAACTTGAATTGTAAATGTATGATTTTTTTTCTGTATCTTTATGCATGTAATTTTAAATTTTGTAATAAAATGCGTTCATTTTAAATAGCTTTTTCAAGTTATTCCAAGAGTTTATTGCTTACAGTGAGCAAAGCTATAGGCGAGGATCAAAAAGAAATCATGACATATTGATTTGTATAACATCAGGATTATTGAGTATGAATACTCTAATTACTATATATATATATATACCTATACTATAATTTATATTTACAAAAGTTGTACTTAATAAAACAACATTATAGTCAGACATACATACATACTTATATACATGGATAGTATATAGAATCAATAGTTATAGTATTTTACAAATTGGGAAATCTATCTCGAATATTATTCACACAAATTCTGTTGAGATATAGTGGTTGTCGCGGGCAATGTGGATCGTTTCTCAATCTTTGGCTTGTTCCGTGGTAGTAAGTAACTTTCTATATCGGCCACTGGGGCCTCAACAGCCAAATAAACGCAAATGGATACAAGTAGTGTTACACCAAAATTACTCCAAAAGCTTAAAGTCTGAAATTTTAGAGAAAAATTAAAAATATCATATCTGGAATGGATACATTCGCCTCTTAACCTACCACATCATAATCAGAAAAGTATGTATTAGTTTTAATTCGTGATGCATTGATAGTAATCACAATCAAATGCCAAATGTACATACTATACGAAAGCTTCGAAATGGGTTGCCAAAAAGTCCAGGAAAGAAAATTGTTTATCGGACCGCCATAGCCATTTATACAGGCATATACTATCCAGCATAACGCTAACGGCCACGCTACGCGCCCACCAGCAAAATAAAAGGCACTCTCGAGTACGGTGGGATCGCTTCGGGTGGGCAGTGTATTTGGATACCAAGCAAATACCAATGTGAAGAGCATGCAGAGCGATATAACCCAACCAATGGCGACCCACCACTAAAAAATTATTTACTAAAATTATTTCTGAACTTGGTGTATAGTAAATATGGGTTGGAATAAATTTACCTTTGATATTTTAGCAATCCGTCCATTATTGTAGTGTAAATAGCAGCCAAATACCAGACCAATCAACCAGGCGGAGCATCTAGTGTGTGTTGAGTAGTATATTTTTGGCATTGCCTCACTTGCGGTGCCATAGTTTCTGCAATTGAATAATTCATAAATAGAATCCATAAATTGTTATATAATATAAGATGTACCGTGCAATGTCGTAAATTGTGTATTTATTTATCACAATAATCGTAAATAAACAAGCAACGAGCAAACAACCAAAAACTACTGTTGCCCATATCCCCAATTTCCTCCATTTCCAGATGACAATTAAAAATATAGGCGATAAAAAAAATAATTGAGTATCAACAGCCAAATACCAAGCATGACCAAGACACTAAAAGTAAATTAATCAATCAAAACAATAGTATTGAAAAAAGTGTTAATTCAACAAAATCAATATAATACCCACACATATTAATATATTTGTCAAGTAAGTACCAAAACTGGTATTTCAGATTGGTTATTGATACTTACAAGTACGGGAATACCGATTGATACAAATACGGGGATACAAATATTGAAAATAACTTACGAAGAAATATTTTTTAATAATCTAATTATATTTATCTAAATTGAGTGACAAAATAATTTCCTTGTTAATTATGAAATATTAGTAATATAGCGTTGAAATTTGTGAATTATAATCAGACACATACTTTGTTTAGGGTTTTCAAATGCATATAAAATTGTGTATACCTCAGTTAAGTACCTATTATATCAGAAGACATAATGGGGCGTATGAGTGATTTCAAGTATTTAATCTTGTACGTACATACTTCTAAATATGTACAAACTAACAAATTAATTTTTGTTTATATCTGATTTTGTATGAAAAGTAAGTACACCTTCGAAAATGGTAACTAAAATATCATTACAAAATGTACTTTTGCTAAACGAGCTTCACAGCATGTATGGCCTAACTTCAATGCACAAAGTTATCAACACACTACCCGATTTCTCCATAACTAATTCTCGTATTTTCTTCATTATTAAGATTCATTTATGTTCAAAAATATCGACGACTCACCATGTTGCCAGGCGCTGCATAATTTTGCACATACAATAACGTTGCCCACCAAGTATTATCACATAATTTATTTGCAACAGTAAGGCTCTTCCAAATGGGTCCATTATCCATATAATTAAATAAAGACATATAAAATAAAATGGCTACAGCAAGAATCGGAGTGAGGCGCAAGTAACGGTGAATGTACATCATTGGTACGTTGAGTTTTCCATGATTTCTAAATGTAATATGTAAATGGTTTAAATAAAAACGAAATCTTTTCTCACATACTTTTGCATTTCTCTAAAGGACCCCATTATTAGTAGTAGTCCACTAAGAAAGAAAAATGAGTCCACAGCAATTGAGCCGCTCTGTTCAATCATCGAAAATGGCGTTTGTTCCCACTATATAAAAATATATAAATTTTAAACAGAATAGATTATTTTTATTAGAAGCAATTATTTTTTTAAATAATTGACTCACACTTTTTATATCGACTGCATTAATATTTGGAGACAGTATACGATACAGGTAACAATGTAAAAATATAATCCAAAACAGCGAAAGACATCGTATGCCATGAAGACAAGGTATGTGTCCGTGCTGAATTTTTAATAATTGTTGCAGATTTTTTGGTATGGAAAAAGAAACTAATAGCTTGTTGGGTTGTTCTGTAATCATATTCATAGATACATATATGTAGTTAGTCACATAAACTATTCAACGTATACTTAGCCAAAATCTTACTTCGTTTGTAACTATAAAGGTAGTCAAAGATAGTACTTAGCGCCATTAGAAGTGCCAATGTAATGAAAAGAGCACTAAAATTAACAAATCAAAACTGTAGTAGTTATCGTTACTCTTTAAAATAGTTTTATAATTATTATTAAAAAATAAGGAAAAAGTTAACCTCGGCTGCTTCGAAGCTATAATATCCTTCACAAGTGCATTTCATGTAGCAACTTCTCATATTTAGATATCGGACCACTATAGCATTTAGCTGCCATGCAAACTCATCAATGAAAATCATCAAACAAAAGTAAGTCAATTTGACAAGGTATCTTCATGAAATTTGGCATGGATTATTACCCATGGCAACGGTACAAGCATCGAAGAAATTGTTCAGATCGGACTACTTTATCAGATGGTTGCCATACAAACTGACCGATCAAAATCTAGATAAAGACATTTTTATATCCTTTGCTATTATAACAAATTCACCTGTTATGCGTATTATCGCTTCGGTGCAATCGAAGTTAAAATTTTTTCTTGTTTTTATACTACTGTTGCTTTAAATACTAAGATTAAATTACTGTTTTAATCCAACACACCAATCTAAGAAATAAACATCTATTTCTATTAATATAAATATACGCATCTTTATGTATCTATCTTAATTATATGTTTAATAATATTTAAAATTATAAGGGTCTGTTTAAACCAATTTGGCATCGTAAGAGTGGTCGGCTATTTTCACGAAAGCGGTCCACTAAGTACTTAGCCTACAAGCGATACATTTTTCACAAATACCGATGTACTTTTTAAGGCATAATTCGTCTGTTACGCCGTGACGAAGGTGTCACAGTAGAAGAGCACTATTTTTTTCGCCAAAGGGGTTAATGTTTCCTCTAATTCGGCTGCGGTTCAATAAGTTGGCGTAGTGGAACTCTGTGACCGTTTGATTCTTGTCCAGGTAGTC